TTGCTTGACCCCGCTAGCCGAGATCCCCAAAGTGTCCCCCACCCCACAAGGTCCTTTCTGCACCGGCAGGCGTGTCTCAGGCCCCCCCTCCCCCAGCTGACGGTCTCGACAGACACGCCAGGCAGTCCAGGAGAAAATGGCTTTGGTTTCTGGGTTCAGCCCTTGGTCTGCTCACCTGGGGCAAGAGGTAGAAAAGCGTCTGCCTCAGGATGTGGATATTTGGAGGGAGGGAGCCCACTGGGAGCCCACCCCTCTTCCTGCCAGCAAACCCTGCCCCCAAAGGTAGTGGCAAACTGACCGCAGGGAAGCGACAGGGGCCTGGAAAGAGGAGGGCGCCCAGGATGGCCTCAAGGGCAGACGTGCCCTCTGGGCGCCAGGGGACGCAGCAAAGGTGCCACTCAGTGACTGCCCAGAGAGGGGACCTCCCCCTTCTCCCAGATGGACAGACAGGCGGACGGACAGTCAGAGAATCCCCCTTGCCAGGCACGGGGGGGGGCAAACACATTCGGAGCTGACGACAGATCAGCGTAAATCAGCAACGGGTGGCCAGATATGGTGGCTGGCAGCCGCCCTGAGCTCCACGGGGAGGGGTGGGGGACAAAGCGCTTACCTGACCGTGACGGAACAGCAGGGGTCCCTGGTGCGAACGACGTGGAGTGGATCAGGAGCCTCTCCAGATCGCATCCTCCACACGCCACAGTGGTGGTCTGAGCGCACTCCAATGAAGTCTGTGTTTTTTTGGGGGGGGGCAGAAGAGAGAGAGAGACCCTCTTAGGGCTGAAGCCTGCCCGCAGGGAGGGAGGGAGGGGCTTCCAGGGAACCCCCTACTCACCACTGCCATCCACTCGGGCCGCTGCCACCTGCCGGACTGCCTCACTGAGCTCAAACTGGGCAGGGGGGCTCCGGATTCGAGGTTTCAGGGAGCTGCTGAGGGTCATATCCTGGAAGCCTGGGAGGAGCCACTAAGGAAAAAGGGGAGGGGGTCCCCTGGAAGGGGCTCAGGCAGGCAAAGGGAGGGAGGGAGGGCGCGAGCGAGCGAGCGAGAGGCTTGTGCCAATGCCATGGGGAAAGGGGCAAGCCAACTGTTGTCAGTCAGCCCCCCCCCTTCCAGACTCTTTGGATGGACCCAATCCCATCACGTACGTAGAGGATACAAAGCTGGTTCATGGCCTCCCCGGCCGGGTGTACCAAACACCCTCCACGGGTGGGTACCGGAGGGGTCTCGTCGGGCAGCCATGCCAGGGCTCCCCCAGTGGGGGTGTCGTCAAAGGCCAGGCACCTCCACCGTTGCGCCAGGTCCTCGTGCACCTGCTGCGCCATCAACTCCAGCGGCAGCTCAAACAGCCAGTCCCGGTACAGGTGGGTGACTGTGCGCACGTGCTGCTTGGCCCAGACTTCAGGACACCTGCAGGGGTTGGGAGAAGGGGGGGACCCAAAGCCATCAACCCCACCTGAGGCCGAGGAAGGAAGCCCATCTTCCCATCCCACCCCACGCCCAGCTGCTCCTGCTGCTTGGATACTCTCCCCCCCCCCGGAGGAACTGAAAGGCAAAACACCTCCGGCCATTCCCAGAGTGGCTCCAGAGGGTGTCAGGGACTCACCACAGGAGCCCCCCCTCCCCAAAACAGGCCACCTGGCTCAAAACACAGCACCCAGAGCAAAAGTCAGGATTCTTTCTCCACCCACCCCCCACAACCCAATGTCTCCCCTCCCCTCGCCCAAATCAGGTTCCCAGCCCTTACAAATCTGTGGGAAAGTGCAGAGCACTTTTGGATGCTGGGCGAGAGTCAGGAGGTGGTGCATGGGGATGATTCGGCGCCCCTCCCCTCCCCTGCCAGCCACCATGGAACAAACCGTGCAGGACACGCAGCGCGCGCAGACCTTCCTGGCTGAACCTCACTGGCCAGGGGTCCTGAGTGCTTCTCGCCCCAGCCCTGTGCACCCCCCCCCAGGGAGGGAGACCCAAAAGGCTCCTGGCACTGCACCACAGCCTGGGTTCAGGAGGAACCAGAGGGACTTCCAAACCCTCAGAGAACAGACACACACACAGCCCCCCCCCCTGCTCCCTGTGAGCAAATGGCTCAGCTGAGCTCAGCAGGGCTCGGGGCAAGAGCTTCCCTGGACTGCGCCCCCTCTGACCTTGTAGCCAAGGCTTGCAGCCAGCCAGCCAGCCAACACAGGACTGGATAAGAAGAGACTTCCTCTGACCATGTGCAGAATTCCTCTCCCTTGGGAATCAGTTTCCTCCTACTCAGCACTAACTGAGACCACAAGCACCCCCAGGGACATGTCCACAGAGTCACAGCATCGTGAAGTTGGAAGGGGCCTACGAGGCCATCCAATCCAACCCCCTGCTCAATTCAGGAAGACCAGTCAAAGCCGATCCACCTGGTGCTCGGCTAAGTTTCTCTTGAAGGCGCACCCCCTCGCAACGTAGTTGGTTCCACTGCCTGACTGCTCTAATAGTTAAGAGGCTCTTCCCAATACCCTGCCGAAATCTGGCCTCCCATAACATGAGCCGACGGTTGCCTGTCCTGCCCTCTGGGATGATGGAGAACAGATCCTGCCCCTCCTTCTGTGGGACAGCCTTTCTAGATGCTGGAAGGGGCTCTCCTTCCCTCCTCCCCCCCCCAATCTTCTTTTCTCCAGGCTAAACAGGTCCAGTTTTTTTCAGTCTTTCCTCCTCAAAGTGCCTGGTTTCCTGCCTGCCCTCGCCCCCACCCCCGCCGGTCACGGAGGGAGAGGAGAGGGAGGGGCGCACCTTCTGGAATAGCCCTGGGCGTCCAGGTCCTTCAGGATGCGGGTCGCGCTGCAGACGGTGTCCTGGGCAGCCCTCTGCAAGCGGTGGAGGCACAGGGAGAGTCAGAAGGGGGGGGTGGGCCACGAGCCCCCTGGAGCCCCCACACCCAGCCCTGCCTGCCTGCCTGGCACAAGGAGGGGACCCACAGCCTGCAGCCAGGAAGGACCCCTTCATGCCCCTGAGGAGCTCCAAGGAAAGACGGGCGGGGGGGGGCCCCTTAGGCCAGAGACCCTGCCCATTGGTCTGGGTGCATCACGGCAGGCTTCTGGGGAGGGGGAGGCAGGGGCAAGCTGCAGGTGAGCCACCCAGCAGCCCCCGGCCCTCTCTGGGCAGAAGCCAGAGGCTGAAGAGGGACGCCAGGCTCACCCCCGCCAGCCCTAATGCTGAAGGCTCATTCCCCCCCCCCGCGATTCCCAGGTGGAT